GGATGGATAGGGCCAGTGGGGTGTTTTTTTGGCCCTATATTTTGGGTCAAGGCAGGGCGTTTCTAGGTTTTGACCATGAAAATTATGAGAGAATATCACATGGAAACTAAGTTTCAAAGAAAATTTTGTGGAAACGAAGTTTGAAAGTTCCAAAACAATCTGCAAAAAAATACAGGATGTTAAGAAGGTGATGTTATATTGGCATGTGAAATTCCAAGTTCAAACACATTACCATTTACGAGCTCTGAAAAAAAAATCAGCAATGAATGGTGACGTTTACTGTTTGGTACTATTCAATGCTGATTCCTTTTCTTTCATACCACTTAAATGGAAATGTGTTTGAAGCTGGAAATTTCACATACTAATAGAACATCACACTCTTAAGACCCAACAATTTTTTGAGATTATTTTAGAACTTCAAAACATCGTTTCCATGTGGTTTTCATCGGTTTCCACCGAAACTTGGTTTCCATGTGATATTCTCTCAAAAATTATAAGGATGTGGTCGGGGATAGGGAATCTGCTAGAGTGGGATTTTGAAAGATTTTGGAATTTTAAGAGATAAGGATTCTACTAGAGATGCTCTAAGATCATTTGAGGTGCCATCTCCCCTGCAATTAATCACAGTAACTGTTTCATTTGAGGTGCCATCTCCACCTGCAATTAACGATAGTAAATGTTATGTCACTGACAAAATACAAGCACAAAAAGAGAGTGTGAGATTTAAGCAGGACCTGCAAAATATTCTGTCACTGAATCAACACGCTAGGTACCAAAGCAATCTTCTCACTGCAATGTCCTTTCATGTTTCTTGACTGCCTGGACAACTCGGGGTGGCACCCAATAACATGAAGTGTTTCCAATGAGGATGGCAGACCACACTCTGGCAAAGATTGGAGCTCTGAGCAGTACGATATTCTCAGCACTTTGAGAGAACTGAAGTTCGACGGAAATGATGCCGCAGTAACTTTAGGACATCTCTCGATCACCAGAAATTTTAATGAATCAAAAAACTGCAACGAGGATAGAGAGTGCAAAAACTGGCAGTTGCGTATGGACAACTCAGTGAGCATGGTGCTGCACCTAAGTGTTTCTGATGGTGGAAGAGATGTTATGTTGGGCAGGTCTATCATCTCCAACGAGGACAGACAAGGGAGAGCCTGGAGAAAATTACTAAAATTCTGTTCAGTAAAGTTGCATCGACTAAGCTGCAACCTCTGTAGAGAAACAAGCGACCCTATTTCTTCAGCAACACCAACTTGTTCAGCACCACTTATGTTCAAGGCTACAACAGCCTCTACATGCTGCTTATGGAGTAACCCATTGAAGTGGACAGAAGTTGTGCAAACATCCAGCTGTAGCTTCTCTGAACTTGAAGAAAAAGGCGCAAGCCTCATGTATGGCATGAAGGATGTACGCTCAATGGTAACTTCACGAGTAGTTGCGGGGAACGATGGAATTTTGACCAATTCTGGACAATCCACTATAATTAATCTTTTAAGGCATGGAAATGAGTTCTTGTCCTCTATTCTAGCCCACTCACACAACTTTGGGAAATCATCAAATTCAAGGACACTTAGAGATGGAAATGCCACATCACTGTTGCCATAAAACTCATGTCCAATTCGGTCAACTGCACACAGCTCCTTCATGTGTAAATATGTGAGTGATCCCAAATTTCCCAATGGAGGAAGGCTGCCCAAACTCCTGCAATTGATGAGGTGCAAAGAACGCACTTGCTGCAATGACTGTAGCCAACTGGGAGCTTTGGCGCCACAATACCTTCTTATATGAAGTACCTTAATGTCTTGGTGCGGCTGTAGGCCTTCAAGTACCTTTGCGTCAGCAGGAGGCGGATTATTCCTACTAGCAGAGCTCCATTCAAAATTCAGAGAATTAAGATGTGTTTTCTTACTCAACTCAGCTTTGCAGGCTTCTTCACAGCTTGAAACATTTTCTAGACCTTCTATTTTTAGTAACCCACGGAGACCATTGATGTTCCTCAACTCCTCTAGTTTATGCCCTTCCCTCTTCTCAACGTGGAACTCAAGTGATCCCTGAAGGTTAGCTAGCCGACCAATGCCTGCCAATCCTGCAGTACACTTGGTTTCAACAAGAAGGTGCCGCAAATTGACCAGCATAGTAACACTCTCAGGAAGCTTATCAAAAGAACATTTCCCAGTGAAGCACAATACTTGCAGATGCAGGAGCTTGCCAATCGACTCAGGAAGCCTCTGGACGGAGCCATGGATAGATAGGTAACGGAGGTGCAATAAGTCATCAATGCAGTGGGGCAACTCTTCAGAGTTAAGGCAACTGAGATCAAGAACACGCAACTGTTTTGACTTCTCCAGGATACTAATTAAATTCACAGCAAAATCTTCTTGGGAGCAACTGGGGTTGGACGGAAGTGACGGTCGGATTAACAAGGTGCGCAGCTCTTCTAGACTGCAGAAGCTTGTAAGACCAGGTAGACTGTTCATGGTGACAGACAGATGGCGCACTGTTGACGGGATGTCACAGTTCATGCCATCGTCAATACGGAAGCAGTCCTCCGCTGCAACAGACTTTGCAAGATCATGGAGTAAGCCGTGCACCAAGTAGTATGTCTTGGGTCCAAGCTTGATTTCCTGGAAGAATGAGCATGAAAGGAGCTGATCAAAATATTCTCTAGCAATGTCTTCCATCCTTTTGTCGGCCATGTCTTGTGGTTGAACAAAACCCTCGGCAATCCAAAGGCGGGACAAGTGTGCTGGATCAAACTTGTAGTCCTCTGGAAACAAACTGCAATATGCGAAGCACCGCTTGAGGTGTACCGGTAGGTACTTATAGCTCAAGCGTAGGACGGAGGAAACAGCATTATCATCTTGTAATCCTGTTTCCATGATGTTCGTCCAGTGAATTTTGCTCCTTGTATCTCCCAGCAAACCTCCTACCAGCTTGGCAGCCAGAGGTGATCCATTGATTTTTGCAGCAATCTGCTTCCCGATCGGGTGAAGATCTGGATAGACATCCCCGCTGTCACTTGGGAAAGCATGTTCCTTGAGCAGGGCCCAGCAATCGTCGCTATTCAGCGGATTCACAGCGTACAGCTGCGACGACGCTGTGAGGTTGCGAGGTACGGTTTCGATGCGATGAATCGCTATAATTCTGCTCCCAATATCTGCTGATTGTAGAGGAGCGAGCATATCCAGCCAGATTTCATCCATGCTGTTCCACACATCATCGAGAACAATGAGATACCTCTTGGATGTAAGAGCCCGACGGAGCTCGGACTGAAGCGTTTGAAAATCCACCATCTTGTCATCCCAAGCCGGTTTGAGCGACCTTAGGATATCCGCCACGACGAGCTCCATCTTGTTGGAGCTACAGGAAACTGACACCCAACATTTGACATCAAAATGGTCCCTGACCGTTGCATCATTGAACACCATCTGAGCAAGAGTTGTCTTCCCAATTCCTCCAGCACCAACAAGGGAGATAACAGGCTTGGCGCATGGCTGGATGAGCATTTGCACGATGTCACCCTTCTCCTTGTGGCGCCCAACAAATAACCCAGCCTGAAGAACCCCCCTGCCTGAATCAGGCATACGCCGCCGCGGCGGCGGCATTGCCGGCGGCAGCGAATTGAAGGATGAGCCGCCGGCGGCCTTGTCCAGCATATTGCCAATCTTGAGAGTTTCTTCATGGACAACCTTGATGGGTGGTTTGGACGCAACTATTCCAAAAGGGAGGCAGTTGAAACCACACCACGTGAGAGCGGGAAGGGGCTTGGATTGATGATGGCTGAGAAGGCGAGGCGGGTTGGAGGAGTGGAACCTGTGGTAGTGGATCATGTCTTGAAGGTTCTGGATGAGGTAGACGACGTCCCTGGCCTGCAGAGCCAGCGCCTTGTCTTGGGCGCGCCGTGGCTCGGTGGCGGCGGAGATGCCCCAGATCTGGAGCAAATGGGCCTCAAGAGCCTCCAGATCGGGGGCGCCGGCCTTCCACCCGCACCTCGTGGACCTAGGCGTCCATTTCCGGTGGGTGCCGTCGCAGGACTGGATGTCGGCGGCCAGCTCCTTCATGGCCCGAGAGGCCGAGCGCAGCAGCTGCGGCGCCTCCGCCAGTCTCACGGGATCCAGGCCGCCGGAGCACGCCAGTACCTCCATGGGCTTCGTCCTCGCTGCTTGCTTCGTTTGTGCGTGTGTACGCCTGCGCTCTGGACGGATGTTTGGCGGAGGATCGGCAGTGTGCACGGAGCTTATCTTCTCAAAACCACTGGGCGATACGGTCCAAGTCAATGGAGAGCAGCTTCCAACCACTTGCGTTAAAGTATCAACCACTTGTTTATGCCGTCCCAGACTTTTCTTCTTGACATAAACAAACACGCGTTGGGCCATCTCTATCGCTGAATCCGTCCGCACAGAGACCAGTCCGCGTGGAGCCCATGTCGCATACTGTACATTGTAAGAAATTGGACAAATTGCATGTTTATCGAAAGATTTTCATATAAGAGCACCCCAACGCGGCGACCGAACGAACGCGCGTTTTGTCCATTTTTCGTCAATTTGGATCGGCCTAGCAAACATGCGCATCCGCTTTTTCAAACGGGTCGGTTTGAGAGCCCAACGGAAGGCGGGCCCAAATTTGCGCGCGAAGAAAAAAAAGAACCACACGATGCACAGATAACAAAAATAAAATTTTAATTTACAATAACTGGCCGGTCAATCGCCGGCCAAAGTCCACGTACGCTTAATTAAACATTCATAAAAACAAAACAAAGTTGACGCCCACACGCAGCCCTAGACGTCGGCCTTGCCCTTGACGTCGTCATCGCTGCAGGTGAAGTCGATGAAGACGGGAGGCGGGCCGGCCCAACCGAAGGCGGCTTGATACGCCGCCAGGGTTGCCTCCTCCGGAGAGGGCTATGGCGGCCAATATGCGCAGGTGTCGTCAGGGTTAGTTGCGGCAGGTGTCGGCCTGCAGGGCTATGGCGGCCAATACGTAGCCAATATGCGCAGGTGTCGTCAGGGTCAGTTGCGGCAGCGACAACGATGGCGGCACCACGCAGTCCCTTGCTGCGGAGAGGGCTATGGCGGCCGCCATCTCTGCCTACTACGCGCCCTCCTCCGTTACTGCTGCTTCGGCCTTCCGTCGCTCCTCCTCGATGGAGTTAGCGAAGGCCTCCGCCAGCGCCGCCTGGTAGGCCGCCTCGACTTCCTCCTCCTCTTGCTGGATGACGGGGGGAGGCGGGGGGTTGACGTGGTGGCGGCGCACGCCACGCCGCCATTGTTCCTCGTGTTCGAGGGAAAACCAGACATCCCAATTAGGAGAGTCTGTTGCGTACTCGGGCATGCGCCACTGCGCCCATCGCCTGCGCACCTCCTCTCGTGCGCCCACTGTGTTCGCGGCACCACCGGCATCGGGATCCGCTGCGGATCAAGGTGTCAGTGGTGTGGCAGCGTGACGTTCGGGTACGGTAGCGGCTGCTTGACTTCCCAGTGCCACCGTGCTTGGTGCACTGGGATGTGCAGATGCTGCCGACTTGCTGAGCGGGCAGGCGCCGACGGGAGTGGAGGAGGAGGGGGAGGAGGAGCATGGGAGGATGAGGCGCCGGGGGTACCTTTGCCCTTGCCGCTGCCGGAGCTGCTGCCGAAGAGGCCCATGGCTAGGGTTTGGGTTGTCGCCCGCGAGGAAGCAGGAAGATGGTGGTGGGGAGCCAGATGTGGACGGAAGTGGATGAGGCCGCCCCCTCCCCGCACGCGCAGTTTAAAAAAGGACGCTTTCACTAGCTGACTAGTGGTCCCGGTGTCGGTGGTCGTCATAAATTAGACGGCGGGCGGTAGTTGAGTGGCCGCCAAGTGGGACCATGGCCGGGGGCGTGCGCCGCATCCGCGCCGACGCATTTCAGGCGAAATTTTGGGTCGGAAATGGGTTCGCGCGGACGCGTTTTGGGTTTGGGTCGGCGCCTTGGGCCTACACTTTTGTCCGCGCCGACCGAAACAGACGCAGGCAGACGATTTGGGTCGCCCTGTTGGCACTACTAGGAGAAAGCCTACTAGCAGCATTGTACATACCTATATCAGTAGCGCGGGAAGCAGCGCTACTGTTAATGCGCTACTACTAAGTTGGAGTAGTAGCGCTGGTCCAAGCAACGCTACTGGTAAGTATGGTTAGCAGTAGCGTTGCTTGGACCAGCGCTACTGCTAACTCTCTGTAGCGTTGCACAAAAGCAAAGGCTGCTGCTAAACTAGCGCTGCCGCTAGTCGTCTACCAGCGCTACTGCTAATATTCCTGTTTTCACAAATTTATTTTTCCTCTACGTATTTGTGATGTATTTGTGCATGTTCTATAGAGTAGTTTCATAATATCATAATAAACATACTTATTCTCATCATATCATACACATACAGTAGTCTCGTCATACCATCATCATTATCATCCAACACAAATATCATCACATCTCGAAAATAGCGATACACAATTCATGTCATGTCTCGAATAAATGCAACTGCATGGTCATGGCACACACACAAGTTTCATCATCTCTATCTAAGCCATGATGTAGAAGAGAAGAGCGGTCAGTATGAGCAAGAACGCGACTATGTAGTACCTCTTGAGGCACTGGTTTCGCTCCCTCTCTTGCCGGAGCATCCATCTCAAGTAACTATTTTTCGCTTTGGCTCTGCCGTCGAACCCTCTATGGCTAGCGCCTGGGTACCTGTCCACCTGGGCCTGAGCGTCTGGCCAGTGGTTGTACACTCCTGGAACCCTCCCAACAAATACGGCGTAGCAGTCCTTCGCCATCTCTGATCTATGTACCTGCATCGTGAGTTGATAAATTCAACGATAATATGCAACATAATGTACTTGAGAAACACAAAGAGACGTAATTAGCAAAATACAAGCAACCTATAGTAAACATAAATAACGAAGTTCCTCATACCCAAACTAATTAACTAGAGCGATCTACGCTAGTTCAGGAGGACGGTTTAATTACATCATGGAGTTTCGCCGTGCATAAATTCAAAGTTTTGCCATAAAAAGACAGTAGTGACACATTGTCATCGTTAATCACTCCTCCATGTCTCTTCTCCAATCTTCATAGTCAGGGTGGAAGCACCCGAGCTTCGTGAAAGGCTTCAGGTCCAGAAGATGGGTGAGTAGCAGTGCTTGGACATCATCCTGTGTGATTGGCCCATGGTAGAACATCCCTGTTAGTTCGAGGACCTCCTTCATGATCACTTGGGCAAGTTCACACTTTACATGATAAAACTCAGCTCGGATTCGATGATCCGGTGTCCTTCCTATGCTTGTGGCCCAATTGACAATCTCGTCATCGTTGGAAGTAGCTGACATGCGAAGGCATTGATTATCCCTTTTGTACTCGATCATGTGATGCATGAGGTAGAATCCATCAGCATTACTGGTGTACGGTTGCTGGATGCAGCAGAAGTCGGTCTTATGGCCGAAACCCAGCCCGGTCTTCCTGTACTTTTCACCTTGATATATCCACGAGACATGCTGAAGGTTAACAGGGCACTATCGAGAACACTCTTTATGTGCGTGTAATCCTTTTTCTTGATGTTCTTTGATGAGTCCCAGTACAGAGCATGGCATATTGTGGTTACAAACAGATGAGAACGGCGCCCCCCCTGCTGTGTAAAAATAAGTACACCTCAAATTAGCCTATAATGCTTGCAAAGGAATGATTAAAACTTACAAAAGGATATCCACAGACGACTTACGTGGGATGATAAGGCAGGAGAATCATTTCCTTGTCCTTATTAGCGATCATGAACTCGCCGATGTACTTGCTCGCATAGTCACGGTGCTCTTTGCAGTCTACCAAGAAGCTCTCGTGCATAGAGTACAGGTCTGCGATGTAGATATATTTTATGTTCTCGCGCCTGATGATGTAGTTGAGATACATCGCATACATGCGGATGAACTGGAAATCCAGCTTGGTCATGTGGAACATGTCATAGATGTAGTCAAATCGCAGGATTAACTTATCCGCGGGCCATCTGTCGATGTACAACTTCCCACCCGGCACCTGAGCCGCGTAAAGCGGGTATCCAGGATTTTTTGAGATGAGAAGGATTTTCTCTCTGGCCAACACATCTTCATGAAGTCTCCTTCGATCATTGTTTAGTATGTGCTCTAGCACTTTCAGAGGTAGGATCGGGTGGCCAGCGACATGGAAACGTTTTGCATCTTCGACAGGTATTCTGTCTACCTCCCGGGGCTTCAGAGGCGGCTAGCTGCTTGAAGCAGCTCTGGTGCTTTTAGGGCCTTTCTCGTCCGGTCTCCTTCTTTGCTTCTTGGTAGGTGGTGGTAGTGAGCCCACCATACCTTCCCTAACCACCACCCCAGTGTCGTTGGGCTAATCAGTGGACGACCCTCGGGTTGTTGTTGCTGGGTAGAGGCGGCATCTGGAGGCGTCTCCTGCGATGATTCCATGAAGAGAGACTTTTTGCATTCTACCTTAGGATGTTCCGGCTCCGGCAAATCAGGCAGTATCAAGTCATCATCTCCACACTCATAGCCGGAGTCATAGTCCCCAGCCATATCAATTCTCCGTCGTCATAGGCGGTATTGATATAATTGAGAGGGCCATCATCCTCCTCCTCCATGACATGATCAACATTTGCTTCTTTGACGAGGGTGACGTTATCTGGCACTAATGGAGGCTCTCCCTCGCGTCGTCCGCTATGACCCGCCACGACAGGTGCAAGTAATTGGGTAGGTGGGGGTGGTGTTCATACCTTCTTGAGGAGCTGTCGTTGGTGTGCTATCGGGCGCCTCGACATGAAGAAGAGTCTTCGCCCAAGGCAAGAACCAGCTCTTGCATGCACCAATCTGTTTAGGGGTCTCATCGTCATCGACTGGTATCGGAGGAGGCAAATCCTTGAAGCCCGCTTTGACACTGGCCATGTTAACCTTGAAGACGCCACGGGGCATCTCTCGGTTGTGAAACATGCGGTCCTTTGGCTTCACGATCGTTGACTTTCCCATGCCCACCTTCTTGTCGTTGATGTCATACAGTAGGGTGCACGGGGTTTCATCGGCCTGCAAAGACATGTCTGCGATGTCAAACATCCGAAAGGCATTTGAAATGGAAGACTATAGAGATGCTGGTGAAAAGGGTATGACGCGTAATTACCATGAGGGCGTCGAGCTCAGCCAAAGACAAAGCCCCGCCGAGCATGCCAGAGACGAAGGTCGGGCTGCTATGAACAGGAGAGGGACCTTGTGTGGTTGCATGAGCAAGTGCTGGTGGTGCCATGTTCACCGAATTGCTCCCGACGTAGCTGGGAAGGGGAAAATTCCGTTGGCCCTTTATCTGGATTGCTCTTTGACCAATCGATAATTGCCGGAATCAAGCTGGTTATAATGG